CTGCCCTCCATCCCTCTCCAAGAGGCTCCCACCAGAGGCCGACCCCTCCCCAGAGCCAGACCCCTCCCCTAGGCACACAGACCCCGCCTCCCCCAACGGCCCAGGCCCCACCCCGGGGCCCCGCCCACTCCAGGACGCTCCCTCCCAGGTCCCATGAGAACGGCTTCATGGAAGATCTGGACAAGACGTGGGTGCGGTACCAGGAGTGTGACTCTCGCAGCAATGCCCCTGCTACCCTCACCTTTGAGAACATGGCAGGTAGGTCTCCCCGTTTCCCTCAACGCCCCTGCTGACACCGGTGGGGTTCTCCAGGGGGCCTGCAGACTGGCCAGCCGACAGCTGAGGTGTTGGGTCCTGGCCCACAGGGGTCTTCATGCTGGTGGCTGGGGGCATCGTGGCCGGGATCTTCCTGATCTTCATTGAGATCGCCTACAAGCGACACAAGGACGCTCGCCGGAAGCAGATGCAGCTAGCGTTTGCAGCCGTGAACGTGTGGAGAAAGAACCTGCAGGTAGGACAGGCCAGCCTCCGAGGCCTGGTGCCCACGGCCCGGCCTGGCCCCGGCCCTCCTCCATTCCCGCAGGCCGAAGCACCGGCTCAGGCTCCCAGGAGCCCATGTGGGCAGGACTGGAGCTAGGAGCCCCAACCAGGGGCAGCGTTGCTGGGGGGCCACCTGCAGGTGGCTGCCCCCTGCAAAGCCCAGCTCCAAGCCTCCGCCTGGCCCCTCTGTCTCCAGAGTCGCCCGCCGGCGCCCATTCCATAGGAAGGCAAACTGAGGCAGGGTAAGACAGGGACCCACCTGGGTGTAGCACGTGAGTCCAAGACAAATTCTGCCCTCGCCGCCCCATGCCTCTCCTCGGCACCCGCCAGGGACCCCCTTCCCTGCTGCCCTGCTCTGTCCTCTGCTCCATAACTCCACCTTGAATCGGGCCAGCTGGCCCTGCTTGGCACCCCAGGCCGTGTCTGTGGGAACTCGCTGCCAGCAGGAAACAGGCTGCCCACCTGGCATAGGGCAGGCAGTGGGGCCTGTGCAGGCCCGTGGGCTCATGCCCCATGGCCCAGTTCTGGCTTCCTTCATCTCTTCTCTTTCTCTGGGTGCCTCCCCAGAGCCTGGGTCCGGGGATGAAGTTGGTGTCCAGAGAGGGAGGGCCATGGGGGGACGGGTTGCTGGAGCCCCCACACCTCTCATCTGCCTATTCTTGTTCTTGGGACCTGGTCACTGCTCTCACTGGCTGGCACAGGGCCATCCTGGCCACCAGACCCCAGGCCAGGGTCTGGAAGCCACCTCCATCTATCTCTCCAATTCATCTTGCCGCCTGCCTTTGGCCCCTCAGCCCCTTCCTGAATCTTGGCGTCCCCCTCAGGGGACAGAATGGCTGGCAGGGCCCGAGGGCAACTCCTCCAGGGCTTGGGGGACCCTCCTCCTTGGGACACCTGTAATCCAGGGTCACCCAGGAGCCAGGGAGCCAGGCTGACCTCCCAGGAAGAGGGCCGGACGGGACCCCCCAAGCCCCACCCCAGCACAAGCAAGGTCAGGCCCAAGACGGGTACAGGAGCAGGGGCTGCCTGCATACGTCCAGCTGCTGGTCCGTCTGTCCAGCACAGCGAGGCAGGCAGGAGCGAGGGCCTGAGTGGCCGGCCAGGCTGGGCAGCAGCCCCCGAGGAGCAGGCGAGGGCAGGTGTGGCCGCCGCCCTTAGCTGTCTAATCACTTATACATATTCATTTTAGGATAGAAAGAGTGGTAGAGCAGAGCCCGACCCTAAAAAGAAAGCCACATTTAGGGCTATCACCTCCACCTTGGCTTCCAGCTTCAAGAGACGTAGGTCCTCCAAAGACACGGTAAGGGGAAGAACGCCCAGTCCCACGTCTCCGACTCTGATCTCGCCCCGCCCCCGTGTCTGTGTCCCGTGCCTCAGGCGTGCCCTCCCCCTCTCCCTCACCATCCCATCCACCCCCACCTCTGACCGCTGTGGCCCTTCTGCCCTCATCTCTATTTGCCCAGCACATGAGGTCTTCACTCTCTCTCTAGACCTTTCTCGGTCCTTTCTCCCATGGCCCTCACTGGGTCCTCTTTCCCCATGTGTCTCTGCGTTGGTCTGCCCCCCATATGCCATGACGCCATGCGCCATCTTGAAGCTGTGTCATGTCGTTGGTCAGCCAGTCAGCCTCTGAGCCCAGGGCCCCTGGGAGACCAGAGACGGTCTGTCCTGGACTCCTCACCTGTGGAGGCCACGCCACCTCTGTCACATCCGTTCCTCCAGCCTCTCCCAGAGGAACCCACTGCCCTCGCTCCCCCTCGCGACATCCGTGGGGGTGGCTGTGGTGTCCCATCCGCCCATCTGTCTGGCCGCCAGCCCCGCCACCCAGACACCTGTGTCACGCGTCTCACCAGAGCCATGCCTGTTGCATCCCCTCCATGTGGTCTCTGTGTGGGCCGGGGCTGGGGGCCGGGCCTGGCTCCATCTGGGTGGACGGCCGGGGCCTGGAACTGGGACAGGCCCCCAGCCACAGGGGACTGCCACAGGGGACTGGGTGGCCCCAGAGGGGTGGAGCCCACCCCAGGCAGAGCCGGAGTCACTGAGGCTGCCAGACAGAGGCGCAGGAAGGAGAGGCCTTGAGGGAGGAGGGCAGCGCCTCAGCTCCCGACCCTCCAGCGCTTCCCCACAGGGCATCAGAGCAGGGCCTCCTACCCTGGGCAGCTTGTCACCACACCACATGCATGCACACTTGGGATAAAAGCCCTTCAAATGGACCAGGCTTGCTAGGGGCACCCCGGTCCAAGGTGGGGAGGGGGCAGCCCAGAGTTAGCACTGTCCTTGGCCTCCCTGCCGTCCAGGGGCCAGCTTGGCTTCCATCCTGCAGGGGCTTATGCTCCAAGGTGGAAACAGGAATTTGCACACCGCCCCCCCCCCCCCCCACACACACACAGAGCCCACTGGAAAGGAGGCAGATCTCCAGGACATGGACAGAGCTTGGCACAGAATGATCCGAGGCCAGGGTGAAGCCATCAGGGTGCCCCCAGAGGGGCCCATGTGGCCTGGCTGCTCTGCTTCCCAGGAGGGGCTTGGCACTGGGAGGGTAGGTGAAGAGTGAGGGACTGGGAGCTGGGAGCACAGGCCCGAGAAAGTGGGCTGAGCCAGGGGCCCTGCCAAGGGGTTCAGGAACAGATCCAAGACCAGAGAGGAGAGTGGTGGGGAAGGCCTGGGGAGAGGTTATCCTTGTAGACGACACTTTTAGGGAGGAGCACAAAAGTTACACAGGTGATAGGCTGCTTTGTGAGGGTGTCCTTGATCCCCCCCCCCAATAATACCCCTACCCAAAGAAAAGCTGCACGCTCCTTAGCTGGTCCAGGTGCAACTCAGAGACCTTCGAGGTGCCTTTCTGGGGACACAATCCCAATAGACTCTTTACCCGAGCCTCTGTAGGCACCAGGGACCATCTCCCAGGGCAGCCCTGACACCATGTGGCATCTGGGGCTGGCCCTGCCCTGTAGGGGTGACTGGGGTGCTGCCAGCTGGAGGGTCTGGGCGGGGGAGGGCAGCCTAGTTCCCATCCTGTTTCGGGCTGGGCGCCTGCTTGGAGGGAGGCCTGGGTGGGGGGCTCTGTTGGGAGGGGTGGGGTCGATCCGGCTGCTAAGATCCTCTGCCCCTGTCCTGTGGCCGGTCTGGGCCAGGGCAGCACTGGGCGCCCAGGGCTGGGGTCCCTGGCAGCCAGCGGGGCCAGCGGGTATTGATTGTTGGTTCTTATTTATAGAGCACCGGGGGTGGACGCGGCGCTTTGCAAAACCAAAAAGACACAGTGCTGCCGCGACGCGCTATTGAGAGGGAGGAGGGCCAGCTGCAGATGTGTGCCCGTCATAGGGAGAGCTGAGACGCCCTGCCCGCCCTCCTCTGCCCCCCTCCCCCGCAGACAGACAGACAGATGGACGGGACAGCGGCCCGGCCCACGCAGAGTCCCGGAGCACGACGGGGTCAGGGGGAGGAGCACCCCCCCAGCCTCCCCCAGGCCGCGCCCGCCCGCCCGCCGGTCGGCCGGCTGGCCGGTCCACCCGTCCCGGCCCTGCGCGTGCCCCCGAGCATGGGGGCTAACGGGCTGCCTTGTCTGTGTATTTCTATTTTGCAGCAGTACCATCCCACTGATATCACGGGCACGCTCAACCTCTCAGATCCCTCGGTCAGCACCGTGGTGTGAGGCCCCCGGAGGCGCCCACCTGCCCAGTTAGCCCGGCCAAGGACACTGATGGGTCCTGCTGCTCGGGAAGGCCTGAGGGAAGCCCACCCGCCCAAGACTGCCCACCCTGGGCCTCCCATCTGTCTGTCCGCCCTGCTGCCGGGCGGGCAGCCCCTGCTGGACCGAGGCTCGGACCAGAGCGGCTGAGGACAGGCCAGAGCTGAGCTGGCTGGGCAGGGCCGCAGGGCACTCCGGCAGAGGCAGGGCCCTGGGGTCTCTAAGCAGTGGGGGAGAGGGGCTAACCTGGCCCCGGAGGGGCTTGGAGCAGAGACTGAAGCCCCAGCCTTCCCCGGCCACTACCAGAGCCACAGTGGGGATGCGAGGCCCAACTAGCTGGGCCACCCCCTCCTCCAGCGCCTGCTCTTGGCTTGGCAGCCTCGGCTCCACCCCTCTCCTTTTCTTACCCTCGTCCCTTCTCGGCTTGACCCCCATCCATCCAGCTGGCCCTGCCCGTCCCCAACGGCAGACTCTGACCCTCAGTGGGCAGCTGCCTCCCAGGAGCGCGCTGGGGTTCTCCGCTGCCTCTGACCCTTTCCTCCGGTCTCCGCGAGGGCTGAGCCAGCCGTTTGCCTCCTCCAGCCTGCAGCCCAAGATAGGCTTTCCCCCACGCGCTGGCTCCGGACTGTCCTCAGCCCTGCCCGCCAACTTGTACAGGCCCAGCCCTTCCAGTGTCGAGCGCGTGCCTTCCCCGTGCGGCCCGTGCGCAGCCGCGCGCTGCCCCTCCGCCCGGGGGCCCAGCGCGCACTGCCCCTGACCCGGTTTGTGCAGTGGTGATGTCTAAAGGAATGTCACGAAAATTTCTGTCTGTGTTGCTTGTTGACGCGTGCAGGGACTGTGAAGAAGGGCAGGGGACGGGGGAAGATTCGAGAACAGCCAAGGCCCGCTCAGGCCTGAGCAGCGGCGGCGGGGCTCCCAGGGCCAGAGTCCCGCGGTCTCCCCAGGCGGCTGAGGGCGGTGCGTGCGGCAGGCGGTGAGCACGGAGCCCAGCGCCAGGCAGGCGGCCAGGCTGGCGAGGAACGAGATGGGCCCGAGCACGTAGACCACGGCCAGGTCCCGCGGAGCGAGTGGCTGCGGACAGTGGCTGAAGGCGGCGTCCGGGAAGGCGGTCAAGGGGCTGAGCGTCTGGCGCCCTGGCAACACGCAGAGCAGCGTCTCGGTCTCTGCGGGACACAGGTGCAGAGTCAGGCGACGGTGGCCGTGGGTCCCGGCCCGTCCACCCTCGCCTGGAGGGCTCACCTGGCGCCCGCCTCGGGTGCCTGCGCAGCCAGGAGCAGAGCGGACGCAGCGCGCAGCCGCAGGTCCAGGGGTTGCCGCGCAGGTGCAGCGCGTGGAGAGCGGGCAGGCGGGCCAGGAGGCCCGGCGCGAGCGCGGACAGCTCGTTGTCCTGCAGGCTGAGCGCGTGCAGCAGCGGGAGCGCGCCCAGCGCCGCGGGTTCCAGGCGCGCCAGCCGATTGCCTGCCCGCGAGAGGGAGCGGAGCGCGCGCAGGGGCGAGAAGGTGCGGGGCGCCAGCGCCTCCAGCTGGTTGCCGCTGAGGTCGAGCCGCTGCAGCGCGCCCAAGCTCCGGAAGGCCCGCGCGTGCACCCAGCGCAGCCCGTTCTCGCGCAGGTCCAGGCGCAGCAGCGTGCCAGCGCCCACGAAGGCCCCGGGCGGCAGCGCGCGCACACGGTTGTGGTCCAGCAGCAGCGCGCGCACGCGCCGGCTCAGGTCCGCGGGCACGGCGGGCAGAGCGCGCCCCGAGCAGTTGACCAGGCCGCCCGGCGCGCACTCGCACGCCTCGGGGCAGTCCGGGGTGGCTGGGGTTCCCGAGAAGGTGGCCGCGGTGGACGACTGGGCCCAGAGTGGCCACAGCGACAGCAGCAGGAGCAACATCGGCGGCGGCCGCCGCGAGAGAAAGGAGGGGCTCCTCATGGAGCAGCGCTAGGAGCCCGCTGCTCGTGCGTCCACGCAGCCAGTGCGTCTCTGCCGCGTCTGCCCAAATACTAAGTCTCCGGCCCGAGTGCCGGCAGTTCCTGTTCCATGGCCAGTCCCGCACCTAGGGCGGGGGCTGGGCAGCCAGCCAGCGTCCTGCACTGCCAACCACCTGTCCCGGAGCTGGGCTGCTCTTGGCTCTGGGCCAGCTGCGACGCTGACAAGACGCCTCGCCCCTCCTCCCGAGGTGCCTACCACCCTGCGCCCCGCGGAGGCCTGAGCGCTGGACAACACCCACACCCACCAAACTCATCGATGCCACGCACGGAATGGGACTCCGTGAGCCCTGCTGCTCTCCCCGGTCTCTGCCCATCTCCTGCCCAGCAAAGTGACCCCAGCACACACACAGTGCCCCCCCGTATAGGGATGGTCCCATCCCCATAGTGGATAATTGGTGGGGTCAGGAGCACATGATGGGGGCCTGAGCCCAGGGGGTAGACTGGAGGGTGGAGGGGGTACGAGGCAGGGGGACAGTCATGTCTGCCCCACCTGGCCCTGTAAGGACTGTCCTAGAACCTCAAGGAGACAGTGTGGGTAGGGCACAGACACCAGCCCAAGTTCTCCTGTCAAACACTGCTCCCTCTGGAGTCATCAGAGTCGCACATCCTGTCCTGGGGTTTCCTGGGGTGGGGGTGGGGGGCAGAGGCCCCCGGCGCCCCGCCAACTTCATGGGACACAGCAGCAGGAAGATGAGGGGAGGGACCAGGCTGAGGCCTCGGCAAGAGGAGGTGGAAGTACCAGGGCTGTGGCTCCCTGCCCTGGAGGGTGGACAGTGGGTACCTCCTCCCCCCACCCAAGATCAAGGAGGTGACCTGGGTGCACACAAACCCCTCCCCAGCCCGTGGCACAGCTGCACCGCGGCTCGAGGACGAGCCTGCAGGGAGGACAGGGCAGAAGCACTGAATACTGTTTAATTCCCCTCCCCCAGGCTGCCTGCAGCCCTACTCAGGTTGGGGGGCTGAGAGGGAGCTCCCCCTCCACAGTCATGTTTGGGGCCATAGGGTCCATGGGAATGGCCAGGAGGCCTTGTTCGTCCAGGGGTGGCAGCATGGAGACCTCCAGGTCGGGGTCCATGACATGGGACTCCACTTGCACGGAGTGCAGGTCCATGCGATCTTCCTGGACTCCGTAGTGCCCCACCAACCTGCACGACAGGGGCCGGGTCAGGCTGGCTGGCCACCAGCACAGGCCTCGAGAGGGCGGGCCCGGGCCTCCGGCCAGTGCTCGTGACCCATCTGTGACCCCCCGCACCTCCCAGGGGCAGGAGGCAGGGGCGCGGCTCACCTGTGGGCTTCCCGAGGTTACTCACCTGCTGCTCATGTGTCTGGGGCATGGCTCACTGGAGGGACAAGGGGAGGTGTGAGTCCCAGAGCAACGGAGCCCAGACGCGCCCCCACCGCCCGCCTCTCCACAGCCCAGCCTGGGAAACAGCATCCCGGCTCCCGGTAACCCCCCGTCGCCCAGCACGGCCCTGCGGCCCCCAGCCGCCCCCCAGCCCCGGGCTCATGCACCTCTTGGCTCTCATGACACCGACTGCCACGATGACCAGGCCGCAGAGGCAACTGGCGCCTATGCCCGCCAGCACCACGAGCAGGGCAATGAGGGCCTCGCGGCTGAGGCCGAGGCTGCACTCGCAGTACGTCCCAGCTGCAGAGACAGGGCCCGTGCGGCCGAGGGGCCCTCGTCACCGGCCAGCGGAGGACCCCCAGGGCCGCCCCTCTCCCTGGCGGCCACCAGAAGGGTACGGGAGGGGCCCTCGCAGGGGCGGGGTTCGGGGGCAGGAGGAGGCACCTGCAGCAGGGATGAGCAAAAGGGACAAACATAGGAGGCCAAGGGGGCTGCCGACCAGGCAGGAGTCAGGCTGGGGACAGGGGGCCATGTCCAGCCCCCAGCCCCACCACACACCTCCGCACGGAACCCATCGGAAGGCGCTGACCTCACAGTGGGGCCCTGAAGCAGAGCGGGTGGGGGCAGGGCTTTGGCTGGAGCTTCACTTGAGCTCGGTGCCCGAGTGGAGGAGCCCTGGGCAGGCAGCCCCGGAGTGGGGTAGGTAGGGTGGAGAGGGGCCTGGGAGCCACTTCTGAGTGCCCTGCCGGACCCAAGGCCAAGGCAAGGATGGGGCTGCCCCAGCCTGGTGGGGCGGTGCTTTGTGGGGAAGGGGGTGGAGCCCATGCCTAGGCCCCTGGGAAGGTGGAGACAGTGGCCCGGAAACCCCGGGGGCCCCAGAGTGCGCAGCACAGGCCTGGGTTCCTCTCTCAGGATCCCCAGGGCTGGGACAAGCAGGGGCCGAGGGGGGGCAAGGCATGGACCTGTGCTCACTGCCCTCCCTCACGCGGGCCGTCCTGGGGAGGGTCCCGCCCACACCCACACCCACACCCACACCCACGCCCCAGCAATGCTCAGGTCCGAAGGAACCTCCAGGGGTTCTTCAACCCCCCAGGAGAGGTGGGCACTGCCCACAGGTCTCCCCAGCACATCCTCCGGGTGGGCCTGGCTCAGAAGCGGCTGCAGGTTGCATCTGAGGCTCCAGCTTAGGTGTCCTTCAAGTGGGAGCCCAGCTGACCCTCTGAGGGCTGCTTCCTGGGGCATCTTCCTGCCACCCGACAAGCGCCGCCTGAGGCACTCACCTGCAGGATGGCATCTTTAGAGTTAACCTCAGCCTCCTCCCTGGTCTCCTGCACTGCCTCTCCACCCTGAGGCCTCCTCCCTCCTCCCCTAAGGACCCAGCCAAGCAAACCACCCAGGCAGCAGGAGGAAGTGCCCCACTGCACAGCTGACCCCGCAGGGCGCCAGGGGCAAGCGTGCAGAGGGGTCCCAGCTGACCCCTGCTCGCTGGGGACCTCCCTGACTCCAGACAGGGGTGGCCCCTCCTAGGGGAGCCCTCAGGGACCAGCCAGCGGTTTCTGGCCTGATGAGTAATGCTGTGACCCAAGACACAGCTTTTTTACCATATTCATCCACAAACCAAGTCGGAAGGGACGAGAAGCAGGAGTGCCGTGCCCAGAACCGGACGCAGCCCCCTGCCAGGCCGGTCTAGCAGGTTTGCACCCTGGTTAGGACGACAAAAGTACACTCAGCCCAGTGCCAGACGGCCTTCCGCCTGGAGGGAATGTGGGCTGTCAGAGCCTCCTCCTGGGCCCCCACCAGAACCCGGAGGAAAGCGGGAGGCCCCTCTTCTAGTGACCACGGCTCAGCAGCCTCAGTGGTGGGCAGAGTCCAGGAGAGGGAGGGGTCAGCTGCTACGGCTACACACCTGTTCCCACCACGTTGTCCCCCAAGCCCGTGGCGAACAGAACACTCTGGGGTAGGAAAGGGAAGTCCCAGAACAGGGCTGGCCGCAGGGCCCCGAGCAACAGGCCCAAGTGGAGAAGTGGGGGTAGGCACTGGAAGACAGCTGGGGGCGGGGGGACCCAAGAGTGTGTAGGGGCAATAGGCATGGCTCCAGGCCTGGGAAGGCACCCCGGGCAGGTGGGAGCAGAAGTGGAGGCTCTTTCCAAAGGGCCTCTGTTGCCTGGGAGGACAGCGCCACCACCTAGAGGGAGCTCCCAGCACTGGCCTGGGTGGAGCCTACACCCTTCCCTGCCTCCTGGGGCCTCAGGGCTGGGGCAGTGCCAGGCCCCCAAAACCCCTTGCACAGCCCTGTGTGGGCTCTGGACACTGCTGGCCCCCCAGCCGCACTGGGAAGACTGGTTTCACAGGGTTCTTCAACCGTACTCTGAGCACTGAGGCCCCGGCGTGCTCCGACCACGTGCCTGAGGGCACAGAAACCAGCTTCACTGTGAGCCACAAATAGCCAGCCCCTCCTGCTGCGGACGTGGGGAGTTCTTGGTCCATCAGGGGACGCTCAGCTGCCTGCCCATCTCACACATCCCAGTGGCGCCCACGTGTCCCAGCAACAGCCCTGGAGCCTCAGGCCAGGAAGAGGGCGGGTGACCCAACGGCTCCTTCCAAAGGCCAGAGTGAGGCTTGGGGCTGGAGGCCTCCGGTGTGCTCCTGCCTGAGCTTCAGGCTCAGAGGTGGGCCTTCCCCAGCTGGTGTGGCCTAGGGACACCCATGTGCCAGGGCTCTGGGTCTGGAGCTCAAACACAGGTATGCAGGCCAGGACTGGGCCCGGCCACTCATGTCTCCCCTCATCTGCTCCCAGGGAGCCAGGTCCTGCTGAGTGGGGGTGGAGAGGTCGGGCTGGAGGGACAACCTGGCCCACAAGCTCATGATGGGCCACAAAGCCACCAGGACAGGGAAAGGACAGAGAACCATTCGCTTTACTCTGCACTCGGGGGGCTGGGCAGGGGCTGGGGGCGGGTGGGGTGGATGGTGCGGGAAGGGCCCCGTGGGGCGCCTCAGCTGCAGCTCTTGGGCAGGCGGTAGACGCCGGCCGAGTAGACGAGCTGCTGGTCACGCACCTTCTTCTGCAGGAAGCCCTGCAGCTCCTGCAGGTCAATCTCGGCCAGCGCGGGGCCGGTCACCACAAACATGCGCAGCATACTGTAGATGCGCTCCAGTGACAGGCTCTCCAGGTTGGTCAGCATGGCCTGGATGTACGTCCAGAAAAGCTGGGGAGACAGAGAGCAGGCCGGCAGTCGGGCCACCACCCGCCGGGCTGCCACCTCGCCAGAGGCCAAGCCAGGCCGCCGCCCCCCAGCAGTCGCACCAGCAGCTCCTCCTCCTTCTGGTCCGCCTGCGAGGCCATGCCCGAGTCGCTCTCCTCGTCGCTGTCGATGAGCACCATGCTGTCCCGGTCCTGGGGCCGCTCCTCCTCCACCACAGAGAAGGTGCCGGCGGGCTCCTCACGCAGCACGCCCTGCTGCAGCCACACGGACATGCGCCGCCGCAGGAGAGCCACGGGCATCTTCACCACCTTGCTCAGCTCCTCCAGGGTCCAGCTGGCTGTGTGGAGCGGCCGCGAGCTCTGGGCACATGGGGCGAGGCCACGCCCCCTGCCCATCCCCCCCGGCTTCCTGGAGGTCAGCAGGACCAGGGCGGCTGGCCCAGGGGGGCATGGCTGGGGCCGGCCGGCAAGGGGCCAGTGGGCTCACCTTGGTCCTGGAAGTACAGCAGGACCACCGCCTGCACGGGAGTCACCGCCACAGACAGGGTGCGGTCAGCCAGCTCCACGTCCATGGTCACCAGACCCAGGGTGTGCTTCCAGCTGAGGGTCCGCATGGCCTGGGGAGGGCCGGAGTCAGCACGGAGTCAGCACCGGCGGCCCCGCGGCCCTGCACCAGGGAGCGAAGGGCTCCCTGACCTGCCCCCGCCGGGCCGTCAGCAGCAGGACAGGACAGGGCTCTGGCTCCCACCCGCTCAGCCAGCCCGGTCAGTGGGCACTGACAGACCCCCGCGGCCTCTGAGAAACACGTCCGCGTCCTAACCCCCAGGATCCCAGAGTGTGACCTGAGCTGGAGACGGGGTCATGGCAGGTGGGGCCAGTTAAGGTGAGGTCATGTGGAGTGCTGGGGGCCCTGACGGAACACGGTCAGCGTCCTCGGGGGGGGGGGTGAGGACAGAGGCAGAGACTGCAGGGACGCAGCCACAGCCAAGAGACACCAAGCAAGGCCTGCAAACCCGCTCCCCGATGCCGGGGGGCAGGAAGGACCAGCCCACACCCTGCTGACACCCTGGCCTCCACACTGCCTGCAGAACAGAAGAAAAGCTTGTTCTGAGGACCCGTTGTGGCACTTTGTTCCGGCAGCCACAAGAAAGGCACACATGTTGGTCCCGGGAAGTGGGTGCCGCTGTAGCGAATACCCAGGAACGTGGGAGTCCACGGAATCGGAGGGGGGGCGGAGGCTGGGAGCACGAGCCGCACGCTCGTGATGGCTGCACTGCCCCGAAGGGAAAGTTGTCGGGAACGTGGCCAGGAAAGCCACGCTGGGGAGGTGTCAAACGAGAACGTGCGACCCCGCCAGGCGGTGGCAGAGCCCCTGTGAGCAGCCGGACTGAGGGAAGTGTGGGAGGGCGGCACGTGGCAGCACGCGAGCCTGGACCGCGCAGGGGTGCTCCGTGCGTGCTCAGCACAGAGCCCCAAGGGCACCAGAGACCTACACTGACGTGGGAGCCCACCGGCAGCCCCAGAAGAGCCAGGATGGAGACGGGCTGTCCAGGAAGGGGGTGCGTAGGAATGGACAAGGCTCCAGAGAGTTTTACAACAGCCTGCGCTGAGAGGGAGGGGGAGCCACGGGAGAGCCTGGCTCTGCACGCAGGGGTGTGGTGTGGAGGCCTGGCCGGCAAGCTGGGAACACAACCATGAGGTCACACAGGTTCTTCCACTGGCTTTCGAACTTGCCTGGGGGCTGCGACCCCTTCCTTCCTTCAGAAGTCTTCCTCTTGGAATGCGGAGTCTGCCCTACACCTTCCCACAAACACCCTGTGGAAGCAGCAACTACCTGTCCGTTCTCCCAGGTTCATAGCCGGAGAGGAACCCTGGCCAGAATGAGCTGCACCAATTCAGCTGCTACTTAGATGCTGAACTTTGGGGTTGCTGTGAACTTGGAGTCATTGCTGGAAGGGTTAAGACTTCTGGGGATGTTGCTTGAATGTGTTTTGCATGTGGGAAGGACATGAATTTCAGGGGGGCTGGAGGGTGGACTGTTGCAGGTGGAATTGTGTCCCTCAAAAAGATGCTAAAGTCCTACCCCCAGTAACTCAGGACGTAAGCTTATCTGGAAATCAGGTCATCACTCATTCAGTTTGTTCCAGTGAGCTCACTCTGGAACAGAGTGGGCCTTGACCCAATACAGCTGGTGTCCTCTAACAAGAAAGTGGAGAGAGAGAGACACGGGGAGAATGCCACGTGACAAAAGAGGCAGAAGGTGACTGATGTGGCCACAAGTTACACGATGCCTGGAGCCACCAGAAGCTGGAAGAGGCAGGAAGAGTCGTCCCCCGGAGGCTCTGGAGAGGGTGCAGGCCTACGACCGATCACTCGATTTTGGACTTTTAGCTGCCATGGACAGGCCCTCTGGCTCCGAGGCCGTGACCCTACAGCCACCACTCCAACCAGCAGATGTGAGGCCCAGCAGCAGAAAGCACAGGCTACTCTCTGGGCTGCACAGCCACCCACACGTGTCCAGCATGATCCTCGGGCCCAGAGTGCACTTGGCGGCAGGCAGAGACACTATGGCCACAGGCCTGAGCTCCAGCACAGCCCTGGGGCCTGCCCCCGCCACTCTAGGATCCAGCTGGAGTTAAGACAAAGCAGCTGAACCTTGGTCATCACGGCAGGTGCATCAGGCCTGAGCCTTCCCGGGACCCACGGCGAGACCCCTGTGGGAGGTCGTGGGGGGTCTCCTGGCGGTGGCGGCATGCCAACAAGGCAGCCAGAAGGGGCAGGGGGAAGGCAGTGAGCACACAG